TCTTCTCTTTTGATAAGTCTCAGATTCTCATTGAAGCCATTTTTCCATTGTTTTTTCTTTTATTTGTTGTTTTTGAAGTTATTATACACTTGTGAGTTGTGATTTGAATAGAAAAATGGCTATTTGTTTGCCTAGATGATTAATGAATTTGTTTGTGATTTGAAAAAAACGAAAGACGGAGCATATTGATTGTGTAAAAATGTTAAAGTTCTCTAACTAATATTACTATTTTTTACTTTCATAAAGTAGTGAGAATGAAATTCGTCAATTCCCAATAAACCGAAACTCTATCAATCTTTGAACATCTAAACATATTTCGTTCAATTCTTACTTAATATCTTACTAGCAAGACAGAAATAATAGTAGAATGTAATTCTACCTTTATCAACCGTTATATGACAATATGAATATCAAACAAAAAAATAGAAATAGAAATGAAGAAATATATATTTGTTCTATTAACATCTTTTAACAACCAATTTTGAAAATAATTTATCCATGGGTTTCATGGTAAATATGAATATAATTTAACATTTAACATTATTAGTTCTCGTTTAAACTTATATGTTAACTTATGTTAATATAATGTCGATAGATAAATTGCGGATTAAAATCAAACAAAACCGCAAATTATGATTTGATTTTATTTGGTTTGGTTCGGAAAAATTTTAAATCTCATAAAATTGTTTGAGTTGAAAATATAGCACAAACCGTCCAAATCAGATCGTGTTCACCCCTACTGAGAGGTGGTAATTTTTCACAGACTACTTTGACACTATAACAATCATGGCAATTTCAACTTTTCCCCCTAAAATTCGAATATGGTAAAATTTCGTTTTGCATATGAATGAAAATATCCACTTCTGATCATATAAACGCTTTCTATTAGTTTATAGCCTGTTTGGAAGGGATTTTTTTATCTAAAAAAAATTGATTTTTTGACCGTTATTTAATTATTTCAGCCGTAATTTTTGACTTCTTCTCTCACAGGTGGACCCCACTTTTCTTCTCACGGTTAAAAAATCAATTCTCAAAATCCCTTCCAAACGGAGCCTTAGATAATGTGTGCCACAATTTTACCTTTGTTTGGCAGACTATAATTTTTTTTTTTATAAATTATCAGACTTCATTTCAACCTTACATTTTAAAGGACCAACCTGAACTATTCATAAATTGGGCTTACTATTGTCGGCCCATATTCCTGGTCCTGCTCGCAGGAAAGGCCCATTATATAGAGAGCCAGTTAGTTAAGTTGGCCCAAACTGCCAGTAGAGAAGCCCACCACCAGAACTTACGGCTACGATCTTCAATCGCTCCTTGCCCTCCTCTCGGTTCTCGGAGATAAACCCTAGTCCTCAACGTTTTGGTAAGTCCTCGCAATTAACTAGAAATCAGTTAAAAATTTGTTTAATGTTTTACATTCGGTTAAATTTACCGTCGTAATTTGATTTCAGGATGTTACCAATTTTTATTATGATTTTTCTAGTATTTTCGCAGTTTTTTTGAGTTTTGGTTGTAATTCTTTATTGACTATTCACAGCAATCAGACTTTCGGTGAGGCATAATCAATGGCATTGTTGCATCGAAACTTATAAATTTTGACTAATCTTTTGCAGATATTTTATCTGAACAGGTTGGGACATAAATATCGATTTGATTATTGGATTAAGTTGTATAATTTTATAAAGCTTTTGAGATTTTGGGGCTCAACAAGCAGCATAAAAAAATTGTCTTTCTGCGTTTGTGTTCTGGAATTAAGTCCCCGCAGAATTTGAAGTCATTTATAAATTAATTAACTTCAAATGATATTATATTTACTCCCATCCTGGTACTCCACACATTGTGTTTAGGAGTTTATGGACACCTAGTTAGTTCAAAGCTGGACAAATTGTTAATCTAAAACTGCATTCATTCTTTTTACCTTTTATTAGAATATGAATAATAGTTGTTAATAGTTTATTTAAGCCCTGTTGCATAAACTCTCTTGATGATTTTACTTTTTCTTTTCAGTTGTTTCTGACATGGTTGCTTTCTGTATATTTAGATAAGAACAGGCATGGGGCGCAGGGGCTCTGAATCTCCAGTTAGGGACCGAAGGTCTCCTCGTAAGAGGAGCCCCTCTCGGAGTGAAAGGTCTCCTGCTCGGCACAAGAATGTGGAGAAGCCTTCAACTCGCAAGAGATCACCAAAACGTGCAAGGTCAAGGTCCCCTATACCTTATTCACAGGTTAGAGAGAAACCCTCTAGTCACACTAGATCTCCACAACGCAGGAAATCAGCATCTCCTGTAGCGGTCAGACAAAAGCCCTCAAGCCAGACCAGGTCCTCAAAACGTGCAAAGTCGAAGTCTCCACCACCTTCTTCTCCTACTAGAGAGAAACCTTCAAATCGAACCAGGTCCCCTAAACGTTCCAAGTTGAGGTCTCCAATGTCTCCTTCACTGGAGTTGGGAAAACCATCTAATAGAGCCGGGTCACCCAAACGTGCCCAGTCAATGTCTCCTGAATCTTATTCACCTTCCCCGCGGACTAAAAGGTTAAAGAGAGCTCAAGCTGGACGAGATGATGAAAAGGGGAGTGTGAAGGACCATGAGAAAAACCGTGTTAGTAAGGGTGATGGGGCTACACATAGAGAAAGAGATTCAGACAGGAATCTGCCAATTGAGAGAAGAGATAGGTCAGGAAGAGATGCAGTTAACAAAGAGTCTTCCAGATTAAGACGCTCCGCTTCACCATCTGAACGTCACTACAGGAGTCGGCAGAGATCTAAATCTCCTCGAGCTTCTGATAACAGAGAACGTAATGAGGTATTTGGTGATATTCACTCCCTCAACCTGATTCATGTCTTATAAGAATTAGATATTCTCATATTGACATCATTACTTTTTGGTTGATACGCGAAACATGAAGATGTGAAATATTCTGGTAGCTACCAGGTGCTCTGAATCGAATTCTTTTGTCAAAAATATACTGCCAAAGGACAATACTCTGTTCTCTAGTTCCTTTTTTGATCTCTGAACAATGTTGTATTTTAAAATAATGGACAAGTTCTTGGGTTCTGTTCTGGTTATAGGAAACCTAGATGCAATGTGGAAGTGGTCAAAGATACTTCTTCCCACTATATTATTCATGATTTGAATAACCCTTTTTCTTTAATTAATTATCTTGGGACGAAGAAGCTACCAAGCCCTTACATCTATTATTATTGTTTGACAACATGAAAAACCTTGTTTACCTCTTTGACAACATAAAAAAGGAACTTCTATCTAAAGATTAACAACGATATTAATTATCGCATTTTTGCATGTCCTCAAAATTTAAAGCAAGTATAAATCCTCCCAATTTACGTGCTATCATTTTTTTTCCATAATACACCATAACCTGTATCCAAGTAAACACTTAGTAATAGTTTGATGTTTTTTTTTTTTTTTTTTTAAAGTGAGTATAGATTTTATCTGTCTGGATTGTATTATATTTTTTTTCCTTTCTTGGTTATATTGACCCAACAATTAGAACGGGTTAAGGAAATTGAATAACATGAACTGAAGAAGACTTGCTTCAATGCTTGCCTTGATATTGAGCACTGCAAGTTTTCATACGAGTAAGATAAGTGCCATAGACAAGGATACACATTTAGTGTGTTCATGGAACTTATGAAGTTCTTCGACTCCATTAACTTGCTTCAATGCTTGCCTTGATATTGAGCACT